AAAGTAGAAAGGGGGCCCATATCAGGAAGAGAGCTACTATCTGAGAAAGCTTTTTCATCTGAGCGACTGGCCTGCCTGGCAGGGCAAACATTTGCTTACCAAACATTGGCTCCTCTTGTCTTCCTGTGAATTGTCTTCCTCTCCTTTGCAGCCTCTGTACTTTTCCTTAGCTCAGGATGATATGTAAGTCTCAATTTCCTGGCTGGCTTCGAGTCTCATTATCTTTGTGGGGCTCCCTTATACACATGATTAAAATTGTTTGGTGTTCTCTCGTTAATCCGACTTTTACTACAGGGGTGAGTCGGTTCTCAGCCAAGAACCTAGAAGGGTAGAGGAAAATTGTTTTTCCTCTCTCCCGGTATTAGTCATTCTACTTAGAGTCTCTTCCTCTCTGAGTATTTAAATCTTCCGTCCTCAAATACATGCTGAACTAGGTCTCAACACTGGAGTTTCTCTTCTGAGCCAGATGCAGGGGGAGTGAATTGAGGTGTATCACTCCATCATTCCTATCGCCCGTGGCTGCTTTCACGACACACGACAGAGACTGAAGATAGTTCCCAAAGCCTAAAGTATTTACTCTGTGGGCCTTTAGAAAAGTACGTCAGCCCCAAGCTAAATAAAACTTTGGTATCGCTGCCTTAACCAGCATGCAAATCTTGCTTTTTGACATCAGCTAATGGTAGACGATGTGATACCAAAAAGCACTTGGCACAAGCAATTCTACGGGGGGCCAAAATACTAGTGCTAGACGCCAGGGGCTCACAATCTCCAGTGGCTGGCCCCAGGAATCAGGGTTTAACATAGCTTCCGGGTGCCTTTCACGCAGGTGCAAGTTTGAGACCCGGGGGAGCCCTCTGGTCCTGGCCAGTGGTCCTGTCCGGCTTCTGGTTCAGACCTATGGAGGTCCAAAGTGGGGCCCAGGAGTCTGCATTTCTAACAAGCTCCCGAGGGACGCTGATGTTGGTGGTCCTAGGGCCTCAGTTTCCTTGTCTGTAAAACGGGGGACAAAAATCTGCACCATAGAATTGCTGGGAATATTAAATGAAGTAGCGTACATTTTATACCCTGCTCCCACCTTTCGAGCTATACTGCTTGGGCAAGTTACTCAGGTCTTGGGCTTGCCGGTCCTTCCCACCTCGTGGGAGCACAGACATTCCCAGGGTTCCTGGACATTGTGATTGTGTAGCACGTTAATCTACGTGGCACCAACTTAATTTTTTCCGAGGACACCATTTGGGACAATATGCGGTAAGCCTGCGAAGTCATCTCTCTTCGGCAGCATGGCCCTCCATAACAAAGCAAACGTTCCGTGAAGGGCATCTGGATTTTGTTTCAGGCTTCTCGTTGCTTCCTTGGGGTGTCAGTGCTGCCAGGAACTGCCGTCTGAAAATTGTTTAGGAAACCTCCATTTCTGGATTCTGGGTGCTGGTTACAGTTACATCGTTGCTTGAAACGACCAAGTTTGGGCCGATCCTACCCACAAGGGGGCATGGCCAGCAGCAGCCCCGTCAGTCCTGTGGCCACTTATCTTCAGGCCCACAGAAGACAGTCGCTGGTCGCGACGTGCCTTCCCCACAGGAGAGCAGCACGGGCTCTAAGGCGTGTTCTCTTCTACAAGTCGGGCACGGGGCCTCTGCCGACACCTCTGTAATTACGAGTCCAGGAGAGATACCACGTCCGTCCGTCCGACCAGCTCCATGGCACCTGTTTTGTTGTCAGAAGATTCTGCCCAGATAAACACACTGCTAGGACTAATCTTCCAACAGAGGACTGAGGATAAAAGGAGAACTTTCAGGTTTTCTTCTTTTTTTTTTTAATATTTTACTTATTTATTCCTGAGAGAGGCAGAGACACAGGCAGAGGGAGAAGCAGGCGATCCCGAGACCCTGGGGTCACGCCCAGAGCTGAAGGCAGACACTCAAACACTGAGCCACCCCGCTGTCCCAGTTTCAGGTTTTCAATAGAGAATAAGCAAATGAAAGACAAAGCAGGGAAGGACAGTAATTAGTGGTATTTAGCCTATTCTTTGCTAAAGGCACAGGGCTACTTGGGATCATTTGACCTTCAAGAACGTTTGTGATAAACCAATTACCACTGTACTTCCCTCCCTCCTTCCCTTCCTGTCTTCTCTCGTCCCTCTGAATAATTCAGTCAAAAAGCCATTTTACAGCCTCACCCCTCCTCTCTCTCCTTCCTTCCCTTGGAGGCCAAAGAGGTTGTGGACACAGCAGCAACAGCGGTGGGGCAGTCAAAGAGGCAACCTATGTGCTAGGGAAATTAGATTAAGAGGATTGGGGGCAAGGGAGCAGGAAGGGAAAAGGACAAAAAGCTATTTTGAGAATAATGGGAGCCAGGTTTCTTGCTATTCGAAAAGAGATTTACAAATACAACAAAGGGAAAGGCCAGAAATAACCCTGATGTGCTGGACTTTGGAACTGAAGGTGTGGATGTGAACTCTCAGAGATGGCTAGCTACCGGAAGAGATACATGAGTAAGCGTGCATGCGGATATGGATATTAATATAGCTTCTAGATCTAGCTTCTCAGAAGGTCTAGAAGTAATGACACAGCACACTCACTGCCTACATCTCAGTTTTTAAACACTACGAGGAACCGGGACTCCTTGGGGAAATGGGTCAGCTCTGAGTCTGGCACAGGGGATGTAGAAAATGAGTCCGGAGCATCTTGTTCCACTAGAATGTAAGGAAGTGTTTAAAGATTGACAGGGAATGTGTCAAAGGGATGAAAGAAACAACCTGAGGACATCATCGAATATGAGACAATTTGAGTCCTAAAATAAATAACAGATTACAGCTCACTGAATAAAATAGGACTCACAAGTCCATAGATGTGAATGAATGAATGGATGAGGAAGAGGGAAAAGGTCTTCCTTGTTTTAGAATGACAAACATTATCTGCAGGAGGAGTGAGAGAAATAAGAAATCTGGACAGCCATCACAGTTGTGGTTGACTCAGGTGGGAATCAAGAGATGCTAAAGACGGTAAGTGGAGGTTCAGTGGGTATGGGACACTGGCGTGGTTTGGGGAATTTCTCTCCACAAAATACTGACCAATCATAGAAGGGAAAACAATGACTTCGATAGTGACTTTAGAAACCTGATAGGCACTAACCTGCCAGATGAACAAGGCTGGCATCACCATTGGCTGGGACGCGAAACACTGAGTTGCTCCTGATGTGACCCAAGGAAAAGAGCTGAGGATCGCTTCTGTAGCATTCCTACCAAGAATGGATGGCCTGAGTCTGGTTGTGAGGAAACATCAGGACATCAGGATGATCCTGGTGGAGAGGAATCTTACAGAATGAAAATCCTATATCCTTTAAAACTGTTAATGTGAAACAGAGGGAAGGACCAAGGAAATGTTCCAGGTTGAAGAACAATAGTGAGGGTCAAAACTCAGTCAATCTAGACGGGATGCTGAACCAGAACGGAGATGGCATGTTGAAACACTTTTCAAAATTTGAATGGCATCTGTGGATTGCCTTGTAGGGACCAATCAACACTGACTTCCTGTTTTGAACTACTGGATTAGCATGTGTGAGTGCCCTGGTTTTGGAGAAATGCATACTGGAGTTTTTAGGGAGGGGAGTATGCACAGTGTCTGTAATCTGCTCTGAAATGATTCAGAGAAAGAATGGGGTGGAGAGGTGTGCAAATGTAACAGAAAGAGTAACAACAACAACAACAAATGGTACATATGTAGTAAAGTGTTGAAAGCTGCAGACTCTGGAAAAGGGGATATGGGAGTTCTTTGTTCTGACAAGACATGAAGTAGCAGGCAAAAGATCAGTGACTGGTAAGGCCAACCTACTAATACCGCATTATTGTCGGGATATTTGCTGTACCTGCCTTTTTGGCATGTCCCTGAACAGCATCAAGGCATGGCTGTCGGGCCTGATGTGAGACTTGATCTAAGGGTCATCACATAGTTCTGCTCTTTTTCTCCTGTCAAGAGAAAAGAATATCCAAAGGCTGCTCCTTTAGCCTGGATCCCAGAGCCAATCCACAGGAGCAGCGCTGCAGCATGGAATGTGAGCCAGAGCGAAACCTCTGCTGTTGACAAGCCGCTGATATCTGGTGGGTATTTATGACCCGCAGCTAACCCGCAGTCAACTAGGAAATAACTTGGGTGGTTAGAGTGTGAATACAGTTTATCTGACATCAAAGTCCATGTTCTTTCCATCGATGACTATTTTTTTTTTTTGAGCAGAGAACATGCTTTATTGAGGAGTAGATATAGAACAGGAAGGATTCGCTTCGGTAAAGGACACTTTACCCCTTAAGAAAAGCCCCAGTGAAGTTGTTTTGGGATAAACTTTACCAGTGACACTGAAACTGGCAGGGACCTGTCACTGAACACACTTAAAATTCACTCCCCCAACCCGCAGTGAGTGTAAGTAGTATACAGAGATGACAAGAGAAAGGCACAGATGACCAGAGTCGGGGTTGTGGGAAGGGCCCCACACGGAGACAGCGGTTTAGGAGGAGTCCACGCTGGGAAGGGTGGCACGTCATACATCAAATGCTGCCCCAGGATAGCAGGTTATAATGGCCTGGAGAGAAATTAGAGGGAGCATTTCTTCCTTTGCTTGAAACCAAAAATAGGAGAGCAGAGAACAGGGGGAATGGTGGCAAATCCCAAAAAGGAAATGGAGGAGGAGTTCTTGGAAGGGCAGGAGCACTTCAGTTCGGGAGGGAGGGCGAGGCACTGTCAGGGAAGCAAACACTGGGAGGAGGCGGGGACAGGGGTGCAGGTGGCGCCCTGCCTTGCTGAGTTATGGGCTGAGAGGAGATCTGGAAGCGTGTGCAGTCATTTCCTACGTCTCCAAAGAGGTTCAGGCAAAAATCAATGCAAAAGTACAGCTGTGCCAGACCAGACCGGCAGGTTCGGGGGGGAAGGTCTCTGCAGTCTGATGAACCGGTCAGCATGCAGCATGAGAGGGAGATCCGGACACCGTCTAGCCCCTGCCAATGTACAAAGGAGTAAGGGGTTACGGGAGGAAAACACGTAGGGCTGCGCACTCTCTGGAGAGGCAAAAGGACTGGTTTCCTTCCACTGACGCACGATGCCCACAGGTGAACGCAAATCAAATTACAGAATCACCACCTGCCAATTCTCTCCCATTTCATTCTGATAAAGTATGTGCAGTTACCAAGACGAATCCCTGGGCGCGTTTTAAAAAATACTGGTCTCTTGTCAGCCTGACACGGATCGAAAACTGGCCTTTCACTAAAAATGGCAGAAAAAATTTCAAGTGAGATAAAATCCAAAGGGAATGGACCCCTCCTAGTACACACACTCAGAAATGTTACCGCTTCCCTGCTCTTCCAAAAAAAGCCACATGTAAGGAGTAACTGGAAGGGTCCTGGTGGTGGCAACCATGGTTTGAAGTCTCGTACCAGGGCAGCAGGAAGCACTAGTACGAAGTTTAGAAGACACAACCCAACCTCACGGGGCTAGAGGACATGAGGAGCACCAGTGACTGGACGGGTACAGTACCAAACAGAACACCTTGGGTCAGTGCTACGAGGGATCTGCACTCAAGTCTAACAGCGATCCCATCCAGGCAACCTCACCGAGGCCGAAACAACAGTTCCTCAGAACCAGCGTCTGCAGTGTACCCGAGGGTCGGAGCAGGACAGTCCTGAGGGGGACGGCCTTCGCAACGGGCCTTCCCAACGGATACTGTGCTTGCCAATCACAAGAGCAACAGAAATGACAGATCCCTAGGGTACGGACTCCTACTGCGGGGGTTCGCTGGCTCAGAGTAACAGGTCACTTTAAGTGCCCCTGGGAGGGGTCCATTTGAAACAGCTTGGATCCATGGTTTTATTGGAGTTAGATCTTTTGGCCTCTTTGGCTATCCACTCATCTATCAGGTCCTGCCTCTTTAGAACTAGGTGTTTTCCTTTCCAGTACTTGAGCATCTGAAGGGCTTGCAGAGCACTGACAATGTCCACAGGATTCACAGCTGTCAACTGGCTAATTTCTTTGATAGAAATCTCTTTGCCTTGGAAATTATGCAGGTAACGGAGAAGCACTTCTTTCCAGTAACTGCTTATGAGCCCCAGGTCAGAGAGGGGACGCTCCGGGGAGCCAACTTTTTCTTCCACTTTGGAAAGCAAGTAACTGAAATCGATGAGCATCTTGCCATAGCCCTGTCTCATGTACCGAGGCATGGTGAGGATACACGACACACTGTAGTCGAGGAATGAATTCTTTTCCTTGGAAAAATATCCAATCAAGTGACAGCTGGTATTGTCCACTTCCGTCATAACATAAAACAGGAAGGGTTCCACATCATAATATAATGTCTTGTGGTCCAGAAAAAGCTTGGCCAGCAGGCACAGGTTTTGGCAGTAGCTCTGGTTTCTCCTGCCATCCACTTTAAACATGGAGATGGAGCCTTTTCGATAGATCTCACCACCAGGTGGGTGTTTCCACACACACTTAGCCATGTGTCGGCGTAGTATCGTTTGGCTCTTCATGTATTTTAAACGGAATTCGCACATGTAGAGCCATCCCAGTAGTGCATATTCTTTGGGATAAGGAGAATGGTACCAAATGTTGAGCTCATAATGACCAAAAGCAATGGTTTTAATCATATTGCTCCCCTCAGTGATTTTGGCCTTGCAGCCTTAACTTCTCCAAATCCTCTGAAGCCGGGGCTTGTGCTCTTCGGAAAAGATCCAAGGCATACTCGCTAGTCAGGTTTTCCAAGAGAGGTTCCCAAGTGTTCCCGTTGATCTTGTTCCATGGCAGTCATGCTGGCACCGGAAAGCACTTATGGATTTTAAAACCATTTTACTCTTGAACTGGTTAGCATGAGTGAACTGGTGAGCCGTTGTTGTGCTCACCTAAACTGAGCTTGCCCATTTCTTAGCCTTTAGGTCGCATTTATCTTCTACTCCTTTTTAGTCCTTATTCTTCTTTGCAGCAGAAGCAGTATTTCCAGCAATACTGCAGATTAGATAGCCCAAACACACAAACAAATTTGTTGCAAAGCACCCAAAAATGCTAGATAAAATATGGCTAAACTGGCAAGAAAGTAACGGAAATAGAGCATTTAAACAACTCTGAAATACTACACGACTGAAAATGGAATGAAAACAGCAATCCAAAAAGGATGTGAGCAATAAAGCTAATGTTCTATGGGTAGATTTTACTCAGAGACTAAAGATAGTTAATATATTGTATATACTAAATAATCACATATATACATATCTTTTAATTTTGAAAGAATTTAAAACTCAAAAAAGTCACAGAAATAATAGAATTCCTGTGCACTTTTCTCCAAGCTTCTACAATGGTAATATCTCACATTATCACGGTCCGTTGGGAAAACCCTGAAACTGACATTGGTGCAGTTCTATTAATTCACGTAAAGACCTCTTTTGGATTTCGCTAATCTTTAACGCACAATTTCTGGTTTTAGGTGTAAGTTCTATGAAATTTTATCACGTTTAGACATGAGTGACTATTAGCACAAAGAAATTCCCTTGTTTTTTTTTTTTTTTTTAAGTTATCTGGAGTGCCCAATGTGGGGCTTCAACTCACCACCTGAGATCAAGAGTCACAGGCTCTGCCCACTGCGCAAGCCGGAGCCCCTCCTCGTGTTACTTAACAGTGGTACCCTTCTCCCAACCATAATGCTTGGCAACCACTGACCTGCTCTCCATCAATGTTTTCACTTTGAGAATGGTATGTAATCATACAGTACATAGTCCTTTAAGACTTGTTTTTTCCCTCCGCTCAACACAATGTCTTAGAGATTCATCCAGGTTGACACATGTATCCTTACATTTTATTGAATGGTATTCCATTGCAAGGATGTTCGTCTGGCTTGTTTCCAGTTTTTGACTATTACAAATAAAGCTCTTATGAACACTCGCGTACAGAATTTTGTGTAAGTCTGTTTTAATGTTTCTAGCACAAGTACTTGGGAGTATGACTGCCCGGTGATACGATAAGTGCACGTTTATAAGAAACTGACAAACTGTTCCAGAGTGGCTGTGCCACTTTATCTTCCCCCGCAGCAATGTAAGAGATATCCAGCTGTCTGCATGCTTGCCAACAGCTGGTTCTGTCGGTACTTTTTATTTTAGCCATTCTAGTATGCAGGCAGGGGCATCTCATTTTTTTTCCCCATTGTGGTTTTAATTTGTACTTCCATAATGGCTAGTGATGGTGAACATCTTTTCATGTGCTTGTCATTTTATATCCTCTTTGACGAAGTGACTATTCAAGTCTTTTGCCCATTTTTTTAAAAGATTTTATTTATTTATTCATGAGAGATACAGAGAAAGAGGCAGAGACACAGGCAGAGGGAGAAGCAGGCTCCATGCGGGGTTTTGCCCATTTTCTAATTGGATTGTTTTGTTTTTTAAAGATTTTATTTATTTATTCATGAAAGACACACAGAGAGAGGCAGAGACACAGGCAGAGGGAGGAGAAGCAGGCTCCCTCTGGGGAGCCTGATGCGGGACTGGATCCCAGGACCCCATGATCACACCCTGAGCCAAAGGCAGACGCTCAACCACTGCCACCCAGGCACCCATTTACTTATTGAGTTTAGAAAGTTCTTAAAATTAAGAAGTGAGACAACATTTCATAAATTCATATATTTAGAAAATTTCTTTTTAATGATTTTATTTATTCATGAGAGACACGGAGGTGGGGGGGAACAGACACAGGCAGAGGGAGAAGCAGGCTCCATACAGGGAGCCTCACGTGGGACTCAATCCCAGGTCTACAGGATCATACCCTGGGCTGAAGGCGGCACTGAACCACTGAGCCACCCAGGCTGCGCTATTTAGAAAGTTTACCTTGTTATAAGGTTTATACATTTATGCCAATTAATTTTAAAACTTATATAAAATGAACAAAATTCAAGGAAAATATAGTTTACCAAAAATTGAGGAAAAAATTGAATAGTCCCTTAACCTATAAAGGAATTGAAATGTCATTCTGCTTTACAAAGTACTAGGCTCAAATGCTTTTCCAAGTAAGTTTTATTTTTTTATTTTTTTTAAATTTTTTTTAAATTTTTATTTATTTATGATAGTCACAGAGAGAGAGAGAGAGAGAGAGAGAGAGAGAGAGAGAGGCAGAGACATAGGCAGAGGGAGAAGCAGGCTCCATGCACCCAGAGCCCGACGTGAGATTCGATCCAGGGTCTCCAGGATCGCGCCCTGGGCCAAAGGCAGGCGCTAAACCGCTGCGCCACCCAGGGATCCCGTCCAAGTAAGTTTTAATAAACATTCAAGGAACAGGTAATTTCAATCTTATACAAACTCTTCCTGAGAAAAAGAAAAATAGGAACTACTACCTAACTCATTTATGAGTAGCCTAATCAAGACATCAAAACAAAACAAAAAGACTATGACAAATTATACACTAAACTCACTCATGAACATAGATTAAATAAGAAAGTAGCACAAAATGATCATGATAGGTCAAGATAAGGCTGATTAAGCAAACTATTAGTACAATTCATATTAACTAAGGGAGAAAAACTATAGGGTCATCTTAAGAGACCTAAGATAGGTTTGATAAAACTCAACATCCATCATGATAATAACTCTCAGCAAGCCAGTAGAGAAAGGGCTTTCATAAGCTGATAAAAGGCACCTACCATAAGCATTTTAATAAAGTTCAACAACAACAACAACAAAAACAGAAATAGAAGGGAATTTGCATCATCTCATAACGGACAGCTACCGAGAGCTATAGCAAAACCACTTTTTTTTTTTTTTTTTGGTTTAAGATTTTCTTTATTTATTCATGAGAGACACAGAGAGAGGAAGAGACACAGGCAGAGGGAGAAGCAAGCTCCATGCAGGGAGCCTGATATGGGACTTGATTCCAGGACCCCAGGATGACCTGAGCTGACGGCAGACGCCCAACCACTGAGCCACCCAGGTGCCCGCAAAACCACACTTTAAAGTTTAACATAATTTCCTTTATCAGGAACAAGGAAGGATGCCTGTTACCATTACTTCTATTCAATGTTTCCCTGATATCCTAGAGTGCAGTATTTTTGAATATTAGAAAGCTATAAATAAAACTGTCATTATCTGTAGATGATAAAATTTTCACCAAGAAACTAAAATATATTAAAATAAGAAATTGGGGATCCCCGGGTGGTGCAGCGGTTTGGTGCCTGCCTTTGGCCCAGGGCGCGATCCTGGAGTCCCGGGATCGAATCCCACGTCGGGCTCCCGGTGCCTGGAGCCTGCTTCTCCCTCTGCCTGTGTCTCTGCCTCTCTCTCTCTCTCTCACTGTGTGGCTATCATAAATAAAAAAATAAGAAGAAGAAGAAATTTTAGTAAGATGGCTCAGTAAAAGAAAAAAATATAAAAATCACTTGCATTTCTGTAGATTAGCCATAAATACTTACAAATATAATTTTTAAAATGATTTCATATAGAAGGTGCCTAGCTGTCTCAATTGGTAGAGCATGTAACTCTTGATCTCTGGGTCATGAGTTCAAGCCCCACATTGGAGGGAAGAGTTTATTTGAAAAATAAATAAATTAAAGTAAAAAAAAAATTCATTTATAAAACCAACAAAAAAAATCGGATTAAATCATAAAAAACATATAAAATCTTTGTGGAAAAAAAACATAAATCCTTTTGAAACCTTCTGAAAACCTAATCAATATACCATGTTCATACACGAGTACTATGTTCGACAGGGAGCCTATATATCTCAATTTGATTTATAAATTCAATGTACTTCCAATCAGTACTCCAGTGCCATTTTTGAGGAATGTGATAATGATTCTAAATTTACAAAGAAGATTAAAGGTCCAAGAAGAGCCAAGATATACCCGAAGAATATAAGGTCTTTTTTAGGGAGGAGAGAGGTAAATAAATGATATGCAATACAAAGCCCAAAAACAGACTCATATGTGTATGGAAATTTGCTAGATGACACAGATGAAATTACATACCAATGAGAAAACAGTGTTGGTATTAACTGACTATCCAAGTGGAAAATAAAATTGGATCCCTTCCTCACAACACGGACAAAAATGAATTCTACATGCATGAGGCTATAAATCTCAAAGGAAAAACTTGGGACGTTTAGAGGAAATATGAAAGAATATTTTTATAACCTTGGGTAGGAAAGACATTTTATTTTATTTATATTTTTATTTTTACGCTGCAAACATTTTAATGATTATCGTTGAGTATACATTTTGGAAATTTTTTACTTCAAACTGCAACAAGTTAAATGTTTATAACATACAAAGAAAATACAACCAGGGATCCCTGGGTGGCGCAGCGGTTTGGCGCCTGCCTTTGGCCCAGGACGCGATCCTGGAGACCCGGGATTGAATCCCACATCGGGCTCCCGGTGCATGGAGCCTGCTTCTCCCTCTGCCTGTGTCTCTGCCTCTCTCTCTCTCTCTGTGACTATCATAAATAAATAAATTAAAAAAAAAAAGAAAATACAACCAAAAGTAAAACTTGCTTTAAGTGTGCCTTGCATCTAGACCAGTGGTTTTTTTTCCCCCCTTAATATATCTTTACTTTTGAGCTACGCAAACACACTTAAGAATTTGATCTTTATAATATGGCGTTTAGGAACTAAAAATATACTCCCACCTCAAAGAAATAAAAAGGTTGTGCATGATTATGTGCCAAACAAAAGAGAAAACACTAGAATAGTGTTCTCTGATAGTGCAGGCATCACTAAAAAGGAAAAAAAGCTTGAGATGCTCATTAACTCTCTCTGTTTTAAGGAAGTAGGATTTTTGACCACATAGCTTAAAGGCCAGCAAAACAGGGATCAGTGACAGCAACTGTAGTGTATGAAGTATGAAACGACAAACTTTACACAAATACTGTTAGAAATTTACCAGTGAACACTGAAGATCTGAGAGGCTGCTCTTTGGAACAGTCAAGTAGGAACCACCTTTTTCCAGTCACTAAGCCCTTGTAGCAACACACAGTGTTCTGTGCTATATACCTGCTGGCTGGGTAGTTAAAGGATTTGTTTTGTCATTAGCAGCTAACCAACTTATTCCACGTTCTTAAAGCCTTAATGGTTGAAATAAAGGCAAGTGTCATTAGCGTAGAGGATCATATACTTCTCTGCACACAAACACAAGAGGCTTCACTAGTATTTTAAAAGTCTCTGATGTCTCCCACTTTGAAGCTCAGTTGAGAAGGAAAGACATTTTATAAAGACACTAATACACAAAACCCCTTAAGGAGAACTATCGGTATGTTTGGCACTTTAAAATAAAGAACTGCGCACTGAAAGACATAAAGTAAGTGAAAAAGCAAGTAGCAAGTGGGAGAAGATATTTATCATACATGCTCCCAACTGAGAACGAATTTCCAGACTTTATAAAGAATGCTTACTGGGCAGCCCGGGTGGCTCAGCGGTTTATCACTGCCTACAGCCCAGGGTGTGATCCTGGAGACCCGGGATCGAGTTCCACGTCGGGCTCCCTGCATGGAGCCTGCTTCTCCCTCTGCCTGTGTGTCTCTCTCTCTGGGCCTCTCATGAATAAATAAAATCCTAAAATAAAATAAAATAAAAAAGAATGCTTACAAATGAATAAGAAATAAGAGAGAACAAAATAGAAACCTGGTTAACAGGTATTTCATAGAGGATGTGCATAAGGCCCACCAACCTATACGATGTTCAACCGAGGTGCAAATCAGGGAAAATCAAAACCACAGGATATCACTTTATACCCATCCGACTGGCAAACATTAAAAGTTTGATGATATCAAGAATTAGTGATGTAAAGGTATAGCAATTGGCACAATTTCTTTGTAAAAATTTTCAGCATTATCTGTGAAATGTGAGGACAGCAACCCAACAATCGTAGTTCCTAAACATAAGGAGGCACACAAAAATGCTTCTAGGAGCGTTATTTGAAGAGCAGACAACTGGATAGAGTCCAAACGTTTCTTGGCTCAAACATGGATGGTGTCACAGAGCTCCAGTTAAGTGCTCTGCAGCGGTGCAAGTCCAGGAACTGCAGCCAGACCCATCATCACTGAAGATTCCCACTTCAGTCCTTTACAAAATGATGCTTTTAATGACGTCTGGCTTTTGCTTTCAAAAAGCAGTTTTCACGTCTCAATGTTGGTATTTCAAGTGGTGATGACAGACCAGGTTGGTGATGGAAAATGGGCCCAGTCGCTGAGGAGGCGGCTTCCTTTCCAGTCATGCCTGGGGGGCACTTATAAAAATAATCAGATAAGGGGCAGCCGCAGGTGGCCCAGCAGTTTAGTACCTGCCTTCAGCTCAGGTGTGACCCGGGGGTCCTGGGATCGAGTCCCACGTCAGGCTCCCTGCAGGGAGCCTGCTTCTCCCTCTGCCTGTCTCCGCCTCTCTCTCTCTGTGGGTCTATCATGAATAAGTAAATAAATAAAACTTTAAAAAAATAAAATAAGGGATCCCTGGATGGCTCAGCGGTTTAGTGCCTGCCTTCAGCTCAGGGCGTGGTCCTGGGGCCCTGGGATCGAGTCCCACCTCGGGCTCCCGCATGGAGCCTGCTTCTCCCTCTGCCTGGGTCTCTGTCTCTCCCTCTGTGTCTGTCATGAATGAATGAATGAATAAATAAAATCTTTAAAAAAATAAAATAAAAATAATCAGATAAGGGGCAGCGGCGGGTGGCCCAGCGGTTTATCACTGCCTTCAGCTCAGGTCATGACCCCGGGGTCCTGGGATCGAGTCCCGCCTCGGGCTCCCTGCTTGGAGCCTGCTTCTCCCTCTACCTCTGTCTCTGCCTCTCTCTCTCTCTTTCTCTCTCTCTGTGTGTCTCTCAGGAATAAATAAATACAATCTTAAAAAAAATAAAAACGAAAAAATAAAAATAATCAGATAAGATGCACTGTGCACGAATCTACGACGTCAATTCGGTACTTGCCATATTTTCCAGGGGCCACTTGCTACTTCCTCCTACCCCCATCTTTCTCAGGATTACAGTTGGACTTTTTTTTTTTTTTTTTTTTTTACTTAATTTGAGAGAGAATCTGAAACCGACTGCACGCCGAGCGCAGGTCCCGACGGGGGCGGGGGCGCGGGGGCGGGGCGGCAGGGCCTCCGCTGCCAGCCGGAGCGCGACGGAGCCGCGACGGAGCCGCCCCGGTGCCCTAGCACGGGGCCTCCGGGGTCCCACGGCTGGGGAGCGGCGGGGGCCCCGCGGGCGGCCCTGGCCCTGAGCTCCCAAGGGCCGGCCCACCTCCGAGGGTCGGCCCCCCCCTCCCCCCCGGCAGCGCTCCCCTCCCCCTCTCACCCAAACTCTCGAGTCCGCGCAGGCCTCGTCCCGCTGTCGGAGTCGGCGCGCCCGGGCCGTGCAGCCAAAACACGCGCGGCGAAGCTCGGGCCTCGAGCGGACGCCATCCCCCCGGCGGCCGCCCCTGCGGGAGCCGCGTCCCCGCCTGATGACGACACACGCGGCGGCCGGAAGCGGCGGGCGCGCTTCCTCCCACGTCAGCGCGCTGCGCCGCCCTGCCGGTTGCGGTCGGGTTGCTGGGAGGAGGCGGGAGGTGGGGCCGCCGGGGCCGGGATCATGCCAGCCGGCGAGAGGTATTCTGGGCAGCAGAGGCCGCTGGGCTGGGGATGAAGGAAGCCGGGCAGATGCAAAGTCTGGAGAGCGCGGGGGCCGGGCGCTCAGTCAGCACGCAGACCGGCAGCATGACGGGTGAGTGCCCCGGGCCGCCCCGGGCCGCCCCGAGCCGCCGCCCCCGCGACGTCCGGTTCCCGCCGCGGCCCCCGGGAGCCCCCGGGCCCCGCCGAGCGCCCGCTTCCGAAGCCGCGCCCAGTCCCGGTCCCCCACGCCCGCCCGCTTCGCGCTCCCCGCCGGGCCCCGGAGCCGGCATCTCCGGGATGGACGACTCCGTGCCTCGGACTTGATTTCCGAATTAACCGCCACGCGACGCCTTCCCCGCGAAGGTCACCGCGCTGCCCTTGTGGCCGCGCCGCGGTGGCCTCCGCCCGGGGCTTTGCTTGCATCACCTGTGCCGCTCCTCCCCCCCCCCCCCCCGCTTTTTTGTTTATTTTTTTTTTCTTCCCTTGCCACGTGAGGGCTGGAGAAGGGGCCCAACTTCGAAAAGTGTCCGCAGAGGTCGCCGAGGAGGTGAGGCCGCAGCCAGGCTCCTGCGCTGCGGTTCCCCCGTCCTCCTCCTCCCCCCCCCCCCCCCCCCCCGCCTCCACCAAAGCGGCGGACTTAGGGCTGCGGCTCCCAAACGGCACCGGGGATCGCTAGTTACTTCCTTGTTGTCATCATTAGTTAAGATTTTTTTCATAAAGTGTCTGCCCTCTCTCTTTCGTAGGTCAGATACCAAGGCTTTCTAAAGTGAACCTTTTCACTCTACTCAGTCTCTGGATGGAGCTCTTCCCAACAGCGAAAGCCCAAAGACAGAAACCTCAGGTACGTTGTGTTTCCTTAGTCCATCCCCCTCCCCGCCCCACCTAGAAAAAGCAGTGGTGCGCAGCCCGGGTGGCTCCCACCTTTAGCACCTGCCTTTGGCCCAGGGCGTGATCCTGGAGACCCGGGATCGAGTCCCACATCCGGCTCCCTGCATGGAGCCTGCTTCTTTCTCTGCCTGTGTCTCTGCTTCTCTCTCTCTCTCTCTCTCTCTCTCTGTGTCTCTCATGAATAAATAAATACAATCTTAAAAAATAAAAACGAAAGAAAGAAAAAGAAAAGCAGTGGTCTAAAATCTGATCCACCCCCCACCCCCCCAACCTTAGGATCTGCAAAAAAAAGAAAAAAAAAATCTCTGTGCCTTAGCGTGATACTTGCAACTAATAACCGTGATAGCTCATCTTTCTAATCTAAAAATAGAATTGTTATCCTGCGAGACTGTGCCAGTGTTTATCAGGTATGAAAGCGTGTTCATATGTTAGTTTGGACGATTCCATTGTATGATTTTTATCACCCGTTTGTAGACTCTTGATGTTTCCAGTGAGTGGTTTCCCCTTCTCCCCAATTTACTGAACTGTAAATTGCACAAAGACGGAGATCATGTCTTATTTTACCTTATTTTTGGTACTGTATCTTCTTTTACCACGTCTAACGCATGCCACTTTAGCGTCTCCTTTTGTAATAAGGAATTATGGATGCTAACTGGTTTCTTGTTCCATGTAAATAGTCTCTTGGCGTTTTTTTTTTTTGTTTTGTTTTGTTTTGGATTTCAGGGAGGTGATCAAAATAGGTTAGGAGTAAATAGAAAGAATAATCATAAAAGCCAGTGGGTTAGAAGTATGTACATTCTACATCTTTATTTTCCCCAGCCCTCAAGCAGCAAGATGCTCGCTACCTTCTCATCATTTTCCTCCATGCTTGGAGTGCCATGGTGCTAGGTTCTCACCATTTGGTTTGGTAGATTGAGAAGTTTAGAATGTTTTAGGGGGCCAAGGCCATATATGGAAAACAGTATTAGGTTGTTAAGCATTTAAGACACTTTTGAGGGATGTCTGGGTGGCTCAGTGGTTGAGTGTCTGCCTTTGGCTCACGGCGTGACCCTGGGGTCCTGGGATCGAGTCCCACGTCGGGCTCCCTGTGTGGAGCCTGCTTCTCCCTCTGCCTGTGCCTCTGCCTCTGCCTCTCAGTCTCTCATGAAAAAAATACATTTTTGGGAAAAAGGAAAGGGGGAAAAAATTACCCAGGGCTTCTCACCATTCTCACATCGTCACTTTTAACGTTTTGGTACTTTCCTTCAGCCTTTTTTTGAAACATAGAATTTGTGTTTGTTTTTCACTTACAGAGTTGTACTTGTATTCTGCATATGCTTATGGACATTTCCAACTTGAGGTTGCTTCACATTTTCCCTCAAGTAACTATCTTTGTAAATCCTTAAGTACAGGAGTACTCTTGTGAGGCCCTTCATAACCATTCTCTTTTTTTCTTTTCTTTTTGGTGTCTTTGTTACAGTGGATGAGGTTGTGTGGTTGGCATTGGAGATCCAAAAAGAAAGACTTGGTTCTTACTTTCTGATGGAGACAAAAATTAGGCACTTGAACAAGATGCAATTAGGTGGCAGAGGCAAGTAGCCAGTATAAGCAGAGATGCTACCAAGACTGAGGACTGAAGGCCAGGCGCTCCCAGGGGAAGTAAGGGAAGGCTGTACCGGGGAGGCTGCGTTTGCACTGAGACTGAAGAATGAGGAGATATTTACGAAGCCAAGGGACTCCACGTGGAAAAGCTTGGAGGAGGGAGAGAACGGTATGGTCCTTGTGGGGGAAGGTGAAGTTGGGTGAAGGGAAGACTGAAGATGAGCTGGGAAAGGCATACAGGAACCAGATAATAAAAAATAATATATGCCTTGCAAGGGAGTTTAGATTTTATAACTAGGGACTACACTGAGGAATTTTCACAGGGAATTAAGGAATTAGCTTTTTAATAATTAGGGCTTCATCTTTGTAAAGCACTTAGAGGGTCACAGCGAAATTTCCGGGAAAGTACACAGATTTCCTGTACCCTCCCTGCTTCCCCCTGCATGAATAGCCTCCACCATTAACCACATCCTCTCCACAGTGACACATTTGCTATAGTTGGTAAACCAGCATTGGCACATCATGATCACCCAGTCTGTAGTTTACGTTATCGTTCAAGGTTGGTGGTGTACATCCTGTGGGTTCAGACAAATGTAGAATGGCATGTATCCATCCTTATGGTTTCATACAGGAGATTTTCATTGCCCTAAAAATGCTCTGTGTTTTACCTATTTATCTTCACCCCCCCCCACCCCCCCACCAACTACTGATTTTTTTTTTTAAGAGTCTCCATAATTTTGCTTTTTCACAGAACATCATGTAGTTGGAATCATACAGTAATATGTAGCCTTGTGGGATTGGCTTCTCTCACTTAGCAATACACATTTAAAGTTCTTCCGTGTCCTTTCACGGATTGATCACTCACTTTTTTTTAGGGCTAAGATTCATCGCCTGGATATATCACACGTAATTTTTCCATTCACCTGCTGAAGGATATCTTGGTTGCTTCCAGGTTACTGCAATTCTGAATGAAGCTGCTCTAAATAACTGTATGCAGATTTTTGTGTGGACTTAAGTTTTCATCTCCTTTGGGTAAATACCAAGGAGCATGATTGCTAGATTGTATGATAGAGATTTCTCAGAAACTACCAAACTGCCTTCCAGAGTGGCTGTACCGTTTTGCATTCCCACCAGCAAGGAATGAGAATTCCTGTTGCTTCACATCCTCGCCAGTATTTGGTGTTGTCCGTGTTCTGTATTTGGGGCATTCTCATAGGCATGTAGTGATATGTTGTTTTAATGACCCATGATGTGGGGATCCCTGGGTGGCGCAGCGGTTTGGCGCCTGCCTTTGGCCCAGCGCTGGATCCTGGAGACCCGGGATTGAATCCCACATCGGGCTCCCGGTGCATGGAGCCTGCTTCTCCCTCTGCCTGTGTCTCTGCCTCTCTCTCTCTCTCTCTCTCTCTCTCTCTCTCTCTCTCTCTCTCTCTCTTTCTCTGTGACTATCATAAATAAAATAAAATAAAATAAAATAAAAAATAAAAAAAAATGACCCATGATGTGGAGCATTTTTTCATATGCTTAGTTGTCATCTGTATATCCTCTTTGGTGAGGTGTCCGTTAAGGTCTTTGGCCCATACTTTAGTCCAGTTATTTTCTTATTAAGTTTTCAGAGTTCTTTGTATATTTTGGATAACAGTCTTATATCAGATGTGTCTTTTGCAAATATTTTCTCCCAGCCTGTGGCTTGTCTTCTCATTCTCTTGACAGGGTTTTTTTTTTTTTTTTTTTTTAAGATGTATTTATTTATTCATGAGAGACACAGAGAGAGAGAGAGAAACACACAGGCAGAGGGAGAAGAGTCTCCTCACAGGGAGCCTATGTGGAAATCAATCCCAGATCCCAGGATCATGCCCTGAGCTGAAGGCAGATGCTCAACCGCTGAGCCACCCCGGCATCCCAGATAGTGTCTTTCACTGAGGACAGGTTTTAAATTTTAATAAAGTGCAATTTATCACTGATTTCTTCATGGATTGTTCCTTTGTGTATCTGAAATGCCATCGCCATATCCATTGTTATCTAGATTTTCTCCTATTGGGGGGAGGAGTTTTTTTGTGTTTTACATTTAGATCTATGATCCATTTTTGAGTTGATTTTTGTGAGGGTGTAAAGTCTGTGTATAGGGAGTTCACTTTTCCTGATAAAGAATATCTCCTGGAGTAGTTTTCTCTTCCAACTACTATGTGAAATGTTTCATAAATAGTAAACATTATTAAAAATGTTGCGCAGTTTTACTCTCTATTAATCACTTCCTCAACCCCCATCCTGGCTCCATATATTATTAATGGCTTTGGGAAAGCTCTTCATTTCCTTCATGATTTTGGAGTCTTTTATTCTTTCTGCCTCTCAGTAGCTTACTATTATTTTATGAAAGTAGAAGATTTTTAAACTGTTGGGGTTTTTTTCATTTGTTTTTGGTGTTTTTTTGCAGATAAAATTGTCTCAAAGAGACAGATTAGGAGCAAATGCTTAGAGATTTAAGACTTTTAATTTTTTTAAAGATTTTATTTGTTTGAGAGAGAGTGCCCATGCATGTGAGGTGGGGGAAGGGCAGAGGGAGAAGGATAAAGAGAATCTCAAGCAGACTCCGCCACACTGAGCACGGAACCTGTCACGTGGTTTGACCCAGGGTGGACATGGGGCTCAGTCTCATGACCCTGAGATCATGACCTGAACCAAAATCAAGAGTCAGTTGCTTACCTGACTGAGCCACCCAGGGGCCCCAAGATTTAAGACTTTTTAAAAGCACATTTAAAAAGCTGGGCTTGTTACAGATTGAGTACTAATTTTGAAGACACTTTTTTTAATATGAAGATTTGATCTCATTTTAATTCACATACATACGCACACATACGTATTTGTGTGTGTGTGTTTATCAAGAATAAATCCTCTGCTGAAATTCTTTTTCAACAGAAATGCACATTAATGATTTACTATTAATTGCACATTATGTTCATAGGGCTGAATAAGATCTTTTTCTTGTTAAAAGAAGAAAAATATTCTTTAAGATAATAAGTTTGTTTCACTTAAATTCTTTATTCTGCTTTTGCTATACAAAGGAAGTCAGAAACTTTAAGATACAATTCGACATGTAATTATATTGGAAATACTCCCTTTGACACTTTGCCAACCTTTTGTCTTCATAAAATATTTTTATGTTACTGAATTTAGATGTTTATTATTTATAAAATGGGTTGAAGAAAAAAAATTTCCACTCTCTAGAGACTATTGACATTTTTGTGCTGTTTCTCGATCTTTTCCCTCTGTCTCTGTCTCTCTCTCTCTTTTCAGTTATTTGAGATCATTTACTTCTGGATCCAGCCTTTTTCACTTAACTGTAGGAAAATACTTTTGCTGTAATACTATTGTACACACTGGAGCAGCAACGTAGTCTAATGGCTTAAGAGTAGCCAGTCGTTTTGTAGTTCGTGAAACTCAGGCTCCACCTCTTTAGTTATGTAATCTTGAGTAAGTTACTTGCCCTCTCTCAACTTCCTCATCCGTGAAATAGAATCTTATTGGTGCGTACTGCAGGGGGCTTTTATGAAAAGTAGATGAGTTAGTATTTGTAAAGCTCTTAGATAGTGCTTGGCATGTACTATGTACTATGTGTGTTTGTTGTTACCATTTTAATGTTGACCTGAGTGTACATCACATTGATGTTTCATGTGTATTCCCTTAGTACTGGACATTTATTTTTTTTATTTTTATTTTTTTTAGTACTGGACATTTAGATTGTCATTCATTTTTACCAGCCTCAGTGTATTTTAACTTACAGCCACTTATAAATATGACTGATACCTGAGATTTTCTATGTTGTTAAATATTTACACTGTATGAGTGCTCTTTGAGCATTGTCCAGCAAAGTTTACATGAAGTATAAAATACAATAATTTTTAAGAATCCAGCCCCAAATGAGATAAACGAGTGGGAAATAAACTGTTTATGAGACTGCTTGGGAAAAGGAGAGTTAACTAAAAGTTTTAGAACAGAAATCAGCCCTACTGAAATGGCTACTGTTTTAAAATAGTAATCTTAAAAAAAAAAAAATAGTAATCTTTCCTATTGGTTCATAGTTTTTCATTCTAGTTGAGTTAAACTTATCTAAATTGCCTAAATGTTACTTTAGTATAAGAATTCGAATAACTGTTTTGTTGCCTCAGTTTGATCTGCACATCATGTATTGTCTCCCTCTCCCAGCTCTTCCCATTGTGTACTCACTGTACTTTTCCAGAACAGTAACAGGGTAGCATAATGGTTAACACAGTGGACTTGGGGCTCAGATCCTGCCTTTTCCATTTTTTAGCTGTGGAGTTGTTTAATCCCTCTCAGCCACAGTTACTTCATTTGTTAAATAGAAACAATAGAGGCTACTTTGTAAACTTGTGAGGATTAAATGAGATAGTTTGTGCTTGATAGGTACTTTATTATCACTCATGTAGGCATCACCACCACTACCATCTATCTGCACTCCCACCATCCTACTACCAACTTCATCGTTGCCTCTACTTCCTGTTCTACTGAAATAGACACATTATTCCCAGAATGTGGCTTTTCCTGTAAACTTTTTAGAGGTTATTCCTTTTCTAGCATCCAGCATTTGTTTCATAAGACTGAGCGGTCAGCATTCACCAGGTTTACCATTCCCACATTCAGACTTTGTCCAGTTTATTACATAGCCCTTTTACCCTGGGGCACACAGAATCCCACTTCATAGTCACTTTCCTGTGTCATAAGCTCTATAAGGGCTACATCCTGATCCTGAGCAACTAGATCTGTGGCTGGCACTTCGCAAGAATTCAGTAATATTTGTTGAATTAATAAATGAAGGAGTTTGGTCCTTCAAACTTCAAAGTTTTACTTTTAGAAAAGACTTGTGGACATCCATTTATCAGTGTCCTATTGTTTCTGCAACAAATTACCTTAGGGTTGGTGGCTTTTTTTTTTTTTTTTTTTTTTTGAGTTGGTGGCTTAAAACACATACTTATTATCCTACAGTTCTGGAAGTCAGCACCCTGAAATGGGTCTCACTGGACTAAAAGTGTCAGCAGGGCTGTCTTCCTTCTGGAGGCTCAGGGGAGACTCCCATTTCCTTGCCTTTTACAGCTTCTAGAGGCTGCCCAGTTGTCTTGGACCAGGAACCTCTTCCTCCATCTTTAAAGCCAGCAGTGGAGACTGTCTCATGTTGCATCACAGTGGCACTGTTTTGCTTCTCTCTCTCTACTATAGGACCCTTGTGATAATATTGGGTCCACCCAGATAATCCTCCATCTTAAGGTCAGATGATTAGCAGCCCTAATTCCACCTACAGCCTTGCCATGGTGACGTAACAGAGCCCCAGTCTCCAGGGATTGGAACAGGCAGGCCTTTGGGGGCCCATTATTCTGCCTACCACAGTCCATTATCTAATGCTTTTGCTGCGTAGTTCCAAACTTCCCAGTTCCAGTTAATTTACCTCTAGTCACCTTTAACCCTTTTTAGCTACAGCCTCACTCTAGTCTGTTTCTTAAAACTGCCCCAACTCCGAAGTCTTAAACTACAGAATTTTATTTTGACCACAATTGACCACAATTTTATCTGACCACAGTTTTCAGTCCTTCTGTATTTTGGGAAAGTGTATAGGGGGCTGATCGTAAAGGCCTTATTTACTAGGTTATGTAGTCTGAACTTGAACCTGAACAAAGCATGAAGTCAGTGCAGACTTTCATCAGGAAAAAAAAAAATGAATGATTCAAAACCAAGAAAACCTGCCTTCAACTTGGAAATGTTAAACTAATCTTTTTTTTTCCTCCTTAATCTGCTTTTAATTAGGAAAAGGAAGAGGAAAAGCATGGACCCTTAGGAGATAATGAAGAGATGTCCAGAATACCTACTGACAAAAAACAGGTGCATTTTTTTATTTTTTAAAAAGACATGTGTTTGTAATAACAAAGCAAAAACAGTAGTATAAAGTAGAATAAAAGTGCTTATACTCAACTTTCCCATTTCCATATCCAGGGCAGATTCTTATATACCCTTCATATCTTTCTATAAGTTTTCTATACATTTACAAGACTATACATGTCTCTCTTATAAAAACAAACAAACCCAGGTTATTTTATAATATGCTCCTACATCTTTTTTTTTTAATTTTCAAATTTAATTCTTGATACATTTCCATATTAGTTTACATACATGTGTCGAGAAACACCCTTCCTTACGTGGTTCTCTCGTACTCCAACACATATTGCTGGTTTTAAGAATGCAAGGCCCTAACTGCTCTTTACGGAGGCCATTTCTCAGACTTGTGTTTGCAGCAAGCAACCTTGAGGGTTGAGCTAATGTCTCCCCCTCTGGGACAGAGAGGAGGTTTGCTTACTGTCTGTGATAAAACAGCAATCCCCGGGCTGGTGTTCTTCTCCTGTAACAACCCACTTCCTGTCCAGGAATCCATCTGGGCCCATCTGCATGACCCCTGTGGGACTTGTGGGCAAGGGAAACATCCCAAACATGATGCTCATACTACTTGCTGTGTTGCGAATGATCAACTTCTCTGTCTCTGACCCAGGAGCTTCATAACCATTCTACCAGCATCCATGAAACAGAAGCAGGCTAATTTACTAGCTTGTAGAAAGGGTAAAATTAAAGCCCAGACCTGATAAGATGAACTCTGTTCTTTTTAATATTGCATAGCATTCCCTTGTTATTTTAAGCTTTCAAGTTTTCCAGAGAAATTCTGATTTATTGGGTATCTAGTGGAGATAAAACATGTATATCTTGAAAAAAAATTAGCTTGATGATTCTGATGTGCATTCATGGAGATCTGATAAGTTCTGAGAATGAGTCTCTTAAAATGCCCAACAAGGATATAGAAATGATTTGTCTCTGAGTATTTACATATTTTTAGTTATAAGAAAGGCGAAGGCAAAAAGAATAGTTTAATATACTTGTTTGCTTATCAAAACAGATTGTCCTCTTTTGCTTATGTTTTAATATAAAACTCTAACCAAGATAACAGACAACTTGCCAAGATGTTAGCAAAGTGAAGCAGTCAGATTCAGAGCAATGATTCACTAAAAAAGATTTTGTCTTCTGGGAATTGCAGTAAGTGGAAGTACAAAATGGAATGCAACGTAGTCTTTTATTTGCTTTGTTTAAGTTTGGGATGGAAAAAAATCTTGGTTTCAGATTTGATATTTTGGCCTTAGCTAAAGACGAAATGAAAAAACAAAAGATACATTCCAAGGTAAAAAGGACTCTACTCTAGACAAAAAAGTGACAAATAAGCCTAGCCTAAAAGATTGTTCATTTTTGTTTGTTTTGTCTCTGTGCCTGTGCTGAGGGATGGGGGAGGGATAAAAGATTGTTTAAATAATAAAATGATGAGTATGCTTGCCACTTATTAGGAATAGTTTTGGGTTTGTTTTGTTTGTTTTGTTTGTTTTGTTTTGTTTTGTTTTGTTTTTTTTGGAATAGTTTTCTTAAAAGTCCTTTCTGGTCCAGGTTTCTGGCTTTATTTCTGTCTGCTTAACTACTGAGAAAATCTAAAGCTAAAATCATTCAATTGCAGCCTTTTCCATTTGTCACAATTGGTTCGTTTCATTTCATTTTATTTTATTTTTCAAAGGTTTTTTTTTTTTTTAAGTTAACATCTACACCTTACATGGGGTTGAACCCATGGCTCCAAGATCAAGAGTTGCATGTTCCATCAAATGAGCCAGCCACACATCCCACAGTTGGTTCATTTTAATAAAATGAACTCTAGCATGCTGAGATCTCTTGATAAGGTCTTATCAGTTCTTATCCGAAGTTATAGCTTAAAAAGAAAAACTCGCTGGAGCTATTCAGAAGTAGATAGTAGCATATACTTTGGATTTGGGGAACATAACACTCTTAAGTAATTTGGAATGGGAAGGGGAAAGGGTTCATAAATTCACAGTAAATTTAAATGTTATTCTAAAAGCCAATATAGATCTTTCATGTTTTAGATTTATTTTTGGAAGTATATTTTGTAAGGGAAAGATTTTTGTATTCCTTTTAAATGTCCTTATAGTTTAGGAAATGGTTAGTAACTCAGAAAGGGAATTCTATAAAATTTTCTCTGTTCTTTCTTTCTAGGCATTTCACAAAATATTCTCCATAGCTGCAAACACTTATAACTGAAACTGAAACTTGACTGTTTTAGTTAATAAAGCTCTGGTCTGATCTTCAAGATGTGCCCTCTTGGGGATGACTGTAGAATAAAATCCCTTTGAAAGGAAGTAGGGAATAACAGGTACCCTAATCTCAGCCCAAGTTCCCCCACATACTGTGACAACTAGTCCCAAACCCAAAGATCAGGTTTACATTCCTTAGTTCAGAATCCTTTCCTGTGAAGATGGCATAGACTATTTTGTGCCTTACATTGAACTGATTTTTAACTTCATCCATTTTATCTGATATTAATATTGTCACACCAACTTTTTCTATTAGTATCCATGTAAGTTAGGACACTAGGTTTAAAGCAGCACGTCTTTAGAATCCCAGCCCATCCCCAGTGTCCAGGGCTTGGAAGCAGAGTCAGCCCAATCCCCTGCCTGTGGGTGGGATACTGCTGAGATGGCTCAGGCTTACTGCTCTGGCTTTGAGTTCTCTCTTTGTTTTTAATACCTGAGCATATGGCTTCCTTTCTTTTGAGCTTAACTATGCGTTTAAAACTTTTTTTTAAATTGCATATAGCCTATATATTTGTAGGAGGTGGGACCTAACCACATTAGTCTAGACTGCCATCATGCAAAAAATTGGTAGAGTGAGTTTTTAGGAAAAAATTGAGATTATCTTTATTTAGTCAATATTTAAAATATTTTAAAATTTAAGATGACCTCTGCTTTAGTTCAGCTTTTTCCATCTGTGAGTCTTTCAGAAAGTCACATAATCTCTTTGGGCTTCACTTATCCATGTATAAAACCACAAGGTTTTCTACATTTTTCCTTATTACCACATAGAAGCTTAATATTAAATGTTTATAGACTGGATGCTGTAGAAACAAGTCAAATCAACTTGGTTCTTGCCCTTCCCTAGATTAAAGTGTATTTATTTTTCAGTTGAACAAATTAATGGGTAATTAAATGCTTTGTTTGGTTAAGAAAGCCTAGATTTAGAAAATTTTTGGTATAAAGCCAAAATAAAACTTTCAGAAAAGTTTTTGTACCTAATGAGAAACGTGCTTTTGTTCAAAACATGTTCAGATAAAGAACTAAATAAAACTTTGATTTTAGTAATAAATCAAGTATAATCTGTGATATAATCATTAGATAAGTTAGAAAACAAAGTTCAACTGCATAAATGTAAAGATCCGATTGCTTTGTTCAATGATTCATGAATTGGGCGACCTCCCATCTACTACATAGAGAGGGGCTCTGAAGCTCTGCAGGAAGGAGAGACTTCTACAGGCAGAAGGAGCGGGAAAAGGAAGTTGCTAGCCAAAAGTGGGTTGTTTCAGGCAAGGTCCCCTCCCTTTGGGGGACTGGAAGAATTTACTAGGAGGATTTCCTCACTAGCTGACTAGGAAACTACAGTTCTCACTGGTTAAGGTTTTATTCCAGGGAAAGGCAAAAACCTCAATTGGGTTAGGCATTAAGTCTCAGTCTGATGATGTGGGCTTAGCCCGAGTGATTCCATTTGGGGCCTCTCGTCTGTTGCTCAGACCCCTCTACCTGAGAGATGTGATCAAAACAAGGCATTAGCATCATCCCCGGCTGTTGCTCTGAAGTTCTTATGGTTTTTGCTAATCCTCTGTGGTGGTTTTCACAGGTCATGAGTTTTGTTTTTGTTTCCGGTGGTTGTTTTGCTGAATCTTTGTGGTATTCACAGACTGCATGACTTCAGGTGCACATTTTTCAAGTCCGTCATTCTCTTCATTCCTTTTTCTGATGTTCCAGTCTTAGGAAGATGACTCGTTTGGTGGTTAGTGGCTGCAAACATACACTTAAAGCTGTATTTGAGAGCTTCCCACATGCTGTGGGAAGACTACTATGATTATTATAAGCAGGGTAATAACCCCCAATACCTGGAGTGCATTTGGAACTGTGGTCCCCAACACCCAAACCAGTCAAAATTAAATAAGTTAAAGGAAGACCTTGTTAAACTTTCTTGAGCCACGTAGCTTGTTTCAACTTTCTTTCTTTTTTTTTTTTTAATGCTGGTGGTATTTTTTTTTTAATATTTTATTTATTTATTTATTCATAGAGACACACAGACAGAGAGAGAGAGGCAGAGACCCAGGCAGGGGAAGAAGCAGGCTCCATGCAGGGAGCCCAACATGGGACTCGATCCCGGGTCTCCAGGATCATGCCCTGGGCTGCAGGCGGCGCTAAACCACTGCGCCACTGGGGCTGCCCCTTGTTTCAACTTTCCCACAAGCGTGAATCCCTGTGCAGCAAGTGGTGTTGGTCGCAGCACAGACACCTCCTTCAGCCAAAAAATAAGGACCATTTTCACCAAGAACAACTTTTGTCAGAAGCTCTAAAGATTATTATTGGGCAGCTGTTTTTTTAAGCAGCAGATTTGGTAATACTTTAAAGAGTTAAGGAGAGGTTCCTGATCTTGGCTCATTCATACTCCCTCCTAAGCAGAGAAGTATGAATCTGCCAAAGGGAGCCAATTTTTAATCACGTATGCCTCCTGGTAATTCCTATTTGAGTCTGTGGCTCAGAGCTAGAAAGGTGACAGCCTGGAAGCCAGTAAAATTTAAGGGTCTGTGGACTGTACAGGCAGTATTTTATTCTGGTTACTCTTGCCTCATGTCCCTTTCTCTGTGCAGAGCTTGGGTGCACGTTTCCCTGGGTTTGGGGTTGTTAACAAGAGATAGGGTTCTGGAGAAACTGAGGCTTTGGAAATCAGGGTGAAGTTTGTGATGGGCAGAACTG